ATAAGAACAGAGTACCCATTTTTCTATAAATAAATTTATTTATTGGATAAAATAAAAATAAACTCGTTTTCAATAAAACACCAGCTATTTCTTGGAAATAGCTATTTATTGGAAAACGGGTATATTTTTATTTTATCCGATAAATAAATTTATTTATGAAAAATAGATGTTAAAGAGCTGGTATTTGATGGGAAAATGATACTTTAGGATATCAATAAATAACAGTTAAAACACATTCATAGATTTGATATTTTAAATAATGAAAATTGGTTCCGTTTGAATTAGATGTTTTTGGAGGTGTTTTTCAAAAACAGCACTGTAGCTTTTCGAACGTAAAATACAAGTACTGTATATATCTGCTATTTCTTTCCCTTTTAGACCAATTAATTTGAGTTTTGTGCTTTCTGATAAAAAATTTTCATTTGTTTTTTTGTGAAAATGCAAAAAAAAAAAATTAATTATGTATAAATCAAAAAAATTACTAATTTAATTATTGGCACTTTGCTCATACGTTGGAGGACTGATAAGAAAGCCGTGAAGAGCTGGTATTTTTATTAATGAAAACTTTTCCCGTAAATGACCTGTTCTTTATGGCTTTCCTTCATTATATGATCAAAGTGCCATACTTTTTTGTATTTATCACGAATTCACATATTGTGACTGTGAATTAAAAATTTTTCGAGATCGTATTTTCGTTAATTAGTCTTTTTTTTCGTACAATCGTTAGTTTGCATGAAAAATTTAGTTGCACGGTGTTTGGGAGCAACTTCTAAAGTAACTATATAATTCTAAATATTTTTATAATTGCTTAGTATATTTATGTCATGGGTATATATTGTTGGTATGTTATTATTAATTTTATTAGAAAATTATAGTTTCACAATTTTTTAAATGTAATAAAGTAGTGGGGAAACAATGCACAGTGAACGGAGGAATTGGAGGGGAAAAAAGGCTGCATCCGTATACATCTTGTTTGATTTATCTCCACGAGTGTTACCACTGCAACATAACGTTCCGTGAGCTCTTCATTTTACAAATATACGTGTCATATTCTGAGGGGTTGCCTACCGTAGGAATGGTCAAAGGCTTCCTACCATAAAGGTTTCCGAGAGAAGACAGTATTTTGGCTAGGGAAATCATTGCTATGATGTGGCTTTTTCTGAACCGTTCGATCTATAATTGAACTCGTAGATCAGATCTACACAAGTATCTGCCCCTTAGTATAGTAGTTGCTTAATCAAGTAAATTTTTAGTCAAGTTTATCTGTTACAAATTTTTTAATAATTTTAACTATAGTAATTTCAAAAAAATTTTAAAATTTTTAAACTATATTTTTCAAAATATTTAAAAATTTACACACTTTAAAAATTTTTTCTACAACTTTTATAATAAATTATAGTAAAGTTTTAAATAAATACAAAAAAAATTCACTTGCCCAAACGGGGCCAAATTGTCAAGACCACACGGCAGCCATATATATTTCAACCAAAAATAATGTGTGAAAGAAAAAAGAAGGGAAATTCAGCACTTACTTTGGAGAGAATGAATACTCTGGGAACAAATGATCTGTTGAATCTGCAAAAATTCCATCTATCTGGTAAGCTAAGTTAAACAAAAAAAAATTAATTTAAAAAAATGAAAAATTTAGCGCTCACTTGAGAGCAAAATGAAACCTCTGGCAATAGATGGCGATCTTGCACCTACTCATTCAAAATTAAGTTTAACGAGAAAATACAAAGAATCGTGTATGCAAGGACTTTTTGTGAGTGAGCTGGTCCACTATAACGGACAAAGAAGTAGTAGTAGTAGCAGCAGCAGTAGTAGCAGCAGCATGCAGCAGCAGCAGGAACTATAGATTAGAGGACCCTTGTACAGATTGGTATTCATGCGGAGTGCTGTCCATTATGGATGGTATCTTTTTTTCACTCTAATATCATATTTCCATCTGGTTTAGATGAGTTCAGATCTACAACTTGGATTAGCTATTTTTTGGAGCGTTTTTAAAAAATTTTGCTGTAGCAGAGTTTTTAGATTATATTTTGGGATATTTTCAGAAAATATTTTGGAATATTGAAGAGTAGAAAATTTTTTAAAATATATTTTGAAATATTTTTTTAAAAATTTAAACTAATTTTTAGATTACCTTTTAGAGTATCTTTTAAAAAATTTTATTGTATTTGAAAAACACTCCCATCCAAACAGAGCCAACAAACAACAGGCTGGACATTTTTTTTTTCAAACTTTTTGTGTGAATATTTTAAGACGCTATCTTGTTCACAGAATCACAGAAGATATGGTGTAGCAGAACTTCAGAAGAAGCAATAAAAAAATGTTAAATTCTGTAGTGTAATCGGATATTTGAAGACAGGTGTGAAAAGTAAAGCATATGGCAAAGAAGGTGGCACGTTGCAACCTGACATGTATGGACCAAGAAGGAAATATTTGTACAAAAGCAAGTGGAGACATATAACCGGGGTTTGGAAATATTGTTTACTACATAAGCTCAAAATGTGTTGGGGTGTCACGGAATTAACATAAATATAAAGGATCTAAAAATAAAACATTTGTGAGGAAGCGTAAGCAGTACTAATTACTAAACAAAGCTATCGTGGGGCCACCAAAGAGGAAGCATATTACGTACTAAAGGGAAACTAGTAAATTTTATATTTAACAAATTTTAAATATGTGAAAGTAAAAAATATTTGCCCATAACATACCAGCTCTTTATGAGTTTTTTGCATTACATCAACAAAATACTAACTATTTATGGGTATTTTACTCTAAATCATTATATGTTTGTAACTAAAATTGAAAAAGTATTATACTTATACTTTTACGAAAGGAAAACTAGTAGATTTTGCATTTAACAAATTTTAAATATTTGAAAATAAAAAAGATTGCGCCCATAATATACCAGCTCTTTATGAATTTTTTTGCATTACATCAACAAAATACTAGCTATTTATGGCCATTTTACTCTGAATCACTACATTTATATAAAATACATAAATGTTTGTAGTTAAAATTGAAAAGTAATATACTTATATTTTTACAAAAGAGAAAATGGTAAAATTTGTATTTAACATAAATTAAATATGTTAAAGCAATATTAAAGGTGATTTTATTAGTTACTTAATTTGTTGGTAAGAAACAAGGTTTCTTTTGCAAAATTTGTTCATTAGATTTTTTTTCAAATAATTAGGATATAAAGGTAAATTTTCACAATCTTTTGTTAGCAATAGACCCCCATTTCCTCCTAGGCAGTGACGAAACCAAGATTTTTTCCTTGAAGGGAGGGCCAAAATGATTGATAAATAAAATTATTTTAATATGTTATGTTCAAAATAATTTTCATCTATTTAAATATATGGCATCCTAAAATATCAAATATTAACTTTAATTATAAAGGTATGTCTATTTAATAAATATGTAGTATAGTCATAACTAAAATTAAGACAAGAAATAACATTTGATTAAATATCTTATACGAAAAAATGCACTTTTCATTCTCAAAGTTTGGGTGGTTGGCCAATTTCATTCTCAAAGTTTCACCCCAAACATATTGCATCCTCAAAGTTTCGTAATTTTGGCCAATTAGGGACAATTGACGGGAAATGAAGAATTAATCGTTAGAACCAACGATTTTACCCAACAAAAAATGGGTAAAACCGAATAGAGCCATTTTTAACGGAACAATTGCAACGGACAAAAAACTCAATTCTTCTCCTTCTTCGCTCTGCCTTTCTGTAACCCCAAAATTTTTTTGCCAATCTTTGAAATTTTAACAACCATTATACAACTTTCAAAACAAATAAATTCATTCTAAATTTTTATTTGGGATTATTTCATAAACCAAATCGCGGTCACTTTGTGTAAAGTATCACTTTCCCAAAAAAGACCAGCTCTTTATGGCTTTTCTCCATTATAAGAACAGAGTACCCATTTTTTCGTAACTAAATTTATTTATCGAATAAAATAAAAATAAATCCATTTTCTAATAAAAAACCAGCTCTTTATGGTTTTCCTATATTATAAGAACAGAGTACCCATTTTTTCATAACTAAATTTATTTATCGAATAAAATAAAAATAAATCCATTTTCTAATAAAAGACCAGCTCTTTATAGTTTTCCTCCATTATAAGAATAGAGTACCAATTTTCTCATAAATAAATTTATTTATCAGATAAAATAAAAATAAATCTATTTTTCAATAAAAGACCAGCCCTTTATGGCTTTCCTCCATTATAAGAACAGAGTATCCATTTTTTCATAAACAAATTTATTTATCGGATAAAATAAAAATAAACCCATTTTTTAATAAAAGACCGGCTCTTTAGGACTTTCCTCCATTTTAGGAACAGAATACCCATTTTTCCATAAACAAATTTATTTATCAGATAAAATAAAAATAAACCCATTTTTTCAATAAAACACCGGCTCTTTATGACTTTCCTCCATTATAAGAACAGAGTACCCATTTTGAAGGCAAAAAGGAATTTGTTTATCGGATAAAATAAAAATAAACTCATTTTTCAATAAAACATCAACTCTTTATGACTTTTCTCCATTATAAGAAAAGAGTGCCCATTTTGTCATAAACAAGTAACTTCTTTAATTAGAAACTATCGACCCCTTACCAAAGACGATCAAATGCAGCTAGATGATTTTTTTGCAAGAAAGTTGCCAAAAGCAGTTTTGTGGCTGTAGTTGCTACTTTTTTTTTCAACCATTTTTTTAGCAAGAGTTATCATTAATGTCAATATTGAGATATAGCAAAAATTTTATATGAAATAACAAACCAATTTGTCATTACAAATACAAAACGAGCAACAATATATTATAACCAATACTATCAACAGTACAAAGCACAAAGATACTCAAATCAAATCCTAATTAGGCTTTAATATGTACAACCAAAATTGTCAAGGATAACAAATGCTAAGATAGACCCTGTGCCGATATACAATGAGTATCATGTTTGCATTAATTGGTGAAGTCCATAATCGAAGTAGCTTGTAAGAGCTTCATAGCCAGGTTTACTACAATCCACCATCAACCTACAAAGTCCAATGGAAAAAAAATTATTAAACAGAAATTTACATTGGTAGTTAGATAAATTAAACTTGCATTAGCCTACATATATCAAAGACGTTATGTTTTAATTGCTTTAAAAGATTCACTCACTTAGAGTTCAAGTCAACATTCATCTATTATTTTAGTAAATGGAAAATTAGCCTTTGGTTCCCCATGTGTGAGTTAACACAAGGAACCTCCTCCATAGTCGCGGGTTGCTTACAGCTTCCATCAATTCTTGTATTTCTTCTTCTGAAAGCTTGGATCCCAACCTAGATAACCCAATTTTGAGCTCTTCATAAGTAATGGTACCACTTCTATCCATGTCCATGTTGTTGAACATTTGTCTCAACCCCTTGATTTCTTCTTCTGAAAGGTTTTCTGCAATAACCTTCCAGTAATTTCATGTTTCAGCTATCAATAACTCTAGAAAGAGGAATCATAAAGCAACTATAGAAGGGAAAGTACTCTTATGAATGACTGTCAAATGTATTCACTAGTTCATTATGGAAACCGCGTTGTCCAAAGAAATTTACATATCGATTCATTACCTTTAAAGCCAGCTTTTTCAGCTTGTTCATTGCTCTAAATTGCTTCATCCTTATTTGCACAACACTGTCAATAGGCGTATCTGATGCTTCACCACCTTCCTTGAGCCATTGATGTTCTGGTTCATATATGTTTAGCCAAATTTAGATGATGATCTGAATTATAGGTATGCAATTATTTGGAGGATGTAAACATTATATACTATTTTCTTTCCAAGAAGCGCAATACACACAGTGTTAACTACTGCCACTACATGGAGTGTTATACTCCATACGCTATTTACTCTCTGTACAATATATAATAGTTTCTTTACAGCAACAGGTAAACAGAGCCAAATGACTTGAGAAGGATAGAAAATAATAATATTGAAGGTCAAAAGTTTTTACTATTTACCAAGGGCTTCAGCAGCGGTGATCCTTTTCCGAGGATCCATTGTTAACATTTTCCTAACAAGATCCTTTGCACCAGACGATATTGAAGGCCAGGGAGAGCTTTGGAAATCAAGGCGCCCCGCTAGGATTTCATAAAAAATGCCTTTGTCGTTCTCTGAAGCACAAGCCAATATCACTCAGTATAGCAACTTAAAAGCTAAATAGCAAAAATTAATTCCAAGTGCTAGAATTTAATTCATTCTTCATTGCAGCGTAAGAGAATTAGGGGGTTTGGGACAACAAAAGGGGGTTTGGGACAACAAAAGGGGACAATTAGGGCTGGGCAATGAGAGGTACAGAGGAATGAAAACGAGAGTGGTAAAGAGAGGAGATTGAACAATACAACAAAGCAGGGAAAAAATCAAATCGTGGAAGGAAGAATTCTAGTATGAAAATATGTTGGAGACTACCTAAAATCTTAGATCTGAAATTTTGACGGGCCGTTTTCATTTTGCCTTCCAGTAAGACCCCCTTCTCTACTCCAACTGAGATGCCCATTCACTCTAATCCACTGAGGTAGAAGCCTACAATTTTAAAAAGTTTATCTTGCGATTGTTAAATTGACAAAAAATGCAAGAAACAAGCAATTGACAAAACAGAGATGAAAATAACATATCTGCTTAAAAAACCTGCACCATCGCTTTTCCTTGAAGTCTGCCATTGCATCGGAAGGGTCTTTAAAGTGTGTCCATGATTGTATAAATTTAGATCTAGATGCTAGAGAGGAAGAGAGGAACCATATGTCTACGGGAAACTGAAAATTGATAGAGAGGGAAAGAGAGATAAAAGGAGAAAGGTGTAGGGGAGGTTGCGATTGAACTTTCGAGGGCTCTGATTTGAGAACAATATTTGGGAAAGTAGCCTTGCAAGTATGGAAGACTTGGAATTCATGTGGTGCTAGGCTTGAAAAGTACTGTGCCGGGAATGGTTAAAAAATTTTCAATGCGCGGCTCTGCTAAAAATTGGAAATGAGCAAAATTTTGAAATTTTCACAAAAAAAACCCATGATTTCTCACCAATAACATAGAAACTTTGGCCCACTAGAATCAGTATTTGGAGGGAAGCTTTCCCGCACTTCTTTTGGCCAGAATTTTAACCGAAAAAAGTTCTTGTCCTCACAGAGTATATGATGGCTCCAATTTTTGGTGAAGTATTGTCATTTTCCTTGCTATAAGCCTCTTAATAGCGTCAACCTCTCCACTTCTTGCTAAAGTTGTTGTCGCTAATACCCTTTTTTGTTGTAGTGAACGGAGGAAAACTATAAAGAATTGGTATTTTATTGAAAAATATATTTATTTTTTCATCCAATAAATAAATTTATTTATGAAAAAATGGGTACTTTGTTCTTCTAATAGAAGAAAACTATAAAGAGTTGGTGTTTTATTGAAAAAACGGGTTCACTTTTATTTTATTCGATAAATAATATTTTTTTAGAAAAATGGGTACTATATTCTTATTGTAAGGATCGAAAACAACCAAATAGAAGAGATAAACAATGTACAGATCACAAATGTAACAATAAATAAATAAAAAGAAAGAATTGCAAACCAATTAACTACCCAACTCCTCTTGAGCTTGTAGATTAATTCAAACAAGTTTCTTCAAATTGATGAATTACAATCACTCTTGTGTACAAAGGAAGGTTCACCTCCTCCTTGCCCCGAACTCCACTCGGTCAAGGTAGGACGTTTTACTATCCCTTAGGACAACCCTCACAGAGTTACACTCATGAAGTATTCACTCACAAATGAAAAGTTTACAATGAACCTCACACCACTAAGACTACAAATCTTCCTTGAAGAGTATTTTCTCACTAAAATCACTCTAGATCTTTTGTATCTTCAGTGTGCAAAAGTTGTTTGATGTATCTGACCAACCACTATTTATATAGGACCAAAAAAGTGCCTCATTAACACTTCCAACGGATAGAAAGTAATTGAAAAGTCAACTAGCCGTTGGAGTATCGGACTTCCGGTGCTCCTGTTTTTTGCGTCCGACAGCAGGCAGTGAGTTTGAGAAATTTTTTTCAATTCTATCAGACGTCCGGTGCAAGTTTTTTGTGCGTCCGACAGCAAACAAAGAGATTTGAAAAATCATCTTGTTTTTATCGGACGTCCGGTGGAGACATATTCAGCGTCCGATCGAGGTCAGTGATCATAAAAGACTTGGCTTATTATCTTCGGATGTCTGAGTGTGAGTTCTTCATGCGTCCAAAATTACTCAATGGTTGTCGGCCGTCCGATATGGTTCTTTTGTGCGTCCGACAGCTTCAGCATACTTTGTCCCTTCCAAATGTGCTTAATATCTGAACCTGATTTGTTTCATTTCTGAAAAAACCTTTAAGAAGATATTAGTAACATCTATTTGTTTTGTAATCATCAAAAGTTAGGGATCAAGGTCAACATTCTCTCCCTTTTTGATGATGACAAAACACAATGGATGGAAGAAAGAAAAAGATTGAGCATAAACTCCCCCTCACTCATTGCATCCAAATTTATAATCTCAAAATAACTCCCTCTTACACATAGCATCCATATTTCTCCCCATTTTTGTCATCATAAAATGAGAGTAAAAATATCATATCGTAATCTAGCAACAATAACAGAAAATCTAATATTTCAAACAAAAAAAAAATAGAGAAATGATACCAGAGTTCAGCAATTACCAATATGTCAACATATCACAGAGAGTTTAACAAAGCAAATCATCATTAGATTAGAATTGTTCTTTTCTCCCCTTTTTGACATCATACAAATTTAGTAATATTCAAAAATATCAAGAAAAACTCAGTTCAAAGCATCAGAAACTTCATAAGAATTACAGAAAAGCATTATAAACAGGAATCTCACCAATTTTACCAATATTTCCTACTTGTTAGAGTTAGCATCATGTCTAACTATCCACATGCATTTCATGCATCTTCTCATGTTTTTTCTCACATAACAATCATTTTTCATGTGACCTTTTTGACAACAAAAATTACACATAATCAAAGAATTATTTATATAAACAGGTTTAATAAATCTTATTTGTCTTCTCTTATAAATAGCAAATTCATTGGAATTAGAATTCAACCTATTCTTTTGAAAACAGACTTGTTTCTTGTGTTTAAGCAACTCATTTAGACCATCCATTCTTCTTTTCAAATCACCTTGTTCCTTTTTGAACAATTCACAAAGCTTTGTTTTTTTATCAAGCTCTAAGTGTAAAACAGTATCACTCTTTTTGAAGTAATCATTTTCAGTTTTCAACTTTTTGTTTTGTTGAAAAAGATTTGCATTGTCTTAAAGAAGAAAACTAATTTTATGTTTTAATTCCTTGTTTCTAGCATAAGATTCTTTCAAACTATCATGCAATTTTATAATGAAAGATTCAAAATCATCATCAGTTTCATCATAACTTTCAAATTGAGAGTTAGAAGATGTTACCTCATCATCTCCAATAGTCATGAAATCCAATTGAGCAGATTCTTCTCCCTCTTCAATTTCACCATCGGAGTTGCATTCATTCCAGGTGAACTGGAAGTTATTAAATCTGGGTTTTCTTTCACCTTTTCTCTTCTTCATTGGACACTCACTTGCATTGTGTCCAGATTGACCGCATTCAAAGCAATTATCAGTTTGCTTTTTGTTGAACTCTAGCTTCCCTTTGTTTCTTGAGTTGTTGAACTGATTTGGGAATGATTTACTAGGTCCTCCTTTTTTGAATCTCCTCTTGTTGAGAATTCTCTTCAAACTTTTCGTGATGAGTGCAATATCACTGTCATCACCTTCCATGTCATCTTCATTTAAGGAGGCTGAATTATCTTCATCATGAGATGTCTTTAGAGCAATGTTCCTTCTTACTTTCGCATCCTCTTCCTCTTGCATTTTGGACTTAAGGTTCAGCTCATAAGATGTTAGAGAATTAATAAGAGATTCAATGGGTAAGGAATTTAGATCTTTAGTTTCTTCAATGGCAGTAACTTTACTTTCCCAATCTTTAGACAGAGCATTCAAGATTTTTCTGTTTTTCTCTCCTAAGGTATATTCTTTTTCCAGAACCTCTAAATCTTTAATAAGATCATTGAATCTACAATACATTTGATCAATATTTTCATGAGATTCCATCTTAAACGACTCATATTTAGTAATCAAGATAGATTTTTTCTGTTCTCTAACATTCTCACTACCTTCATGAATATCTTTCAATTTGTCCCAAATTTCTTTAGCTGACTTGCAACCCTTGACTCTAATAGATTCATTTGAGTCTAAAGTACAAAATAATATATTCATGGCCTTTGCATTTAAGGTGAGATGAATTTTATCTGCAGCAGTCAGTTCACTTCTTATTTTTGGTCTAGATGTACGAGTATTTTCATCTATAAGAGAGGCATCATATGGACCTTCACTAATAATAAACCATAATTCAATATCAATAGATTGCAAAAAGATAATCATTCTTTCTTTCCAACTCAAATAATTTGACCAATTAAACATAGGTGGTCTAATCATAGAATGTACTTTAAAAAATATGGCATTATTGGTTGTCATCTTTACTCCTAAGCCGCTTGAGCTTAATCTCTAGGAGATCAAATTCTAATACCAATTGTAAGAATCGAAAACAACCAAGTAGAAGAGATAAACAATGTACAGATCACAAATGTAACAATAAGTAAATAAAAAGGAAAGAATTACAAACCA